AGCCTGCTGCAAGCAAAGACCACCTTCTTTGTGACAATCGTAAATGAGCTGTTTCTCCAGTGTGGAAAAAGCCTGCGCGACTGGATTTTAACTCACCATGGAACACCACAAAGACATGTGACATGGGCGAATTTGCGATAAACATCACAAAGGCAGTAGCCAACACCGGTAACATACCTGCATATCACACATTGTTGTAGTAGCTTGTCTATTGTACCCATGCTCTTGAGTGCTCTCGCCAAGCATCTGAGCAAGCTAAAACATCCAAAGCAAGCTGGAACCTCGAGTTTGAGAAAAGCAATTTACTAATTGTATTGGAGTTAAATTGTAAAAAGGAAAACGGTAGAGACAAAGGCCTTGTGTGAATGAATCGGCGAATCAACAATTGGAGGCAAGTGTGAATGGAACATCGATCCTTCACTCACTGCATATGTGCACGCGAGCTGAGAAGGTGTTGGATGAAGTGCGATATGGTATCAGCTAATGCCACTTCAGCAGAGGAACGCCGTCAGCATTCCCGTAGCCCGATGAGCTGCTGCTGACCCATGGCCATGTCAAAATGGACAAAGTCTAACGGTTGCGCCTACTGGTGCTGCGTACCTAACTGAATGATTACAATGTGTGCCTAACTGAATGATCCGCTCAAGGTCCAGCACCAGACTGCACCTCATCCTTGCAAGGGTGAATGCCAAGAACCAATGATGGAAACTCACTGGATGCACATCCAACACCACTTCCGCTGATTCATTAGCAAACCCTCAGATTCGCTTCCTGGACTGTTGCATATCAAAAGAGATATTGTCCAAAAAGAACCAAGACATGGAATGCAGCGGGTAACGTGTAGACTTGCCAATGTCATGAAGTGTTGAGGTTGCAAGTTGCAATCCCACAAATCTGTGCTGGTTGTGCTCACATTTCCGGGAGCGCCGTCAAGCCGCTCCCGGCGACCCAAACCTGAAAAAGTTCACATTCAGAAAACCAGCATGGCAAGCAATGCGTTGGACTCACAATGCGTTATGCGTTGCACTCACCTCATTCGGGGGGGTTGCATATATTCATACCAAAATGGTTTGAGATCAGGTGCTCGGTGTCATGGCATCACTCGACAAAAAGTTCAAGCCAAAGCACAAGTTGAGCTTTCACACCATCATGAACAAAGGTGTTCACTGGATTCCTCAGAATGCGCAAAGATACACGTATATATATATATATATATGTCACGGACAAAAGCCAAGCATCTTGTCCAGGTCCTGAATTGAAAGAGAAAGTGTACTGTCACCATTACAAAAAGGTTGGAAAACCGTGACCTGATTAAAACCAATTTAAAACCAATATCGGAGGTTTGAATCGTGAAATGTATCTTTCTACCCCCTCAATTATACACCAAGGCTCCCCATCAAGCGGCGCAGGTGCTTGGCAACTACTCTCGCCTCCTGCTGTGTCAGGAGGACCTTGCAAAAGCATTGTAGATTGAAACCATCAGAAAAGTATCACCAAAGCGCTACAGTAGAAGCAAAACTCAGAGCTAGTAGTTTGCTTGAAGCCTGCAGCGCTGAGGAAAAAGGTAGAATGCAGAATGCAGTAGAATTATATACGTCCAAGTTCGATCCATTCCCACCTTCATGGACCCTTCATTCGAGAAAATCCTGGGCAGTCAGGCAGTCAGCCGTCGTACAGATCTTTATCCTTCTGTCTGGCTTCGTGTTTTTGGTTTGAACTTGGAAAAGGCTTATTGAACAGTGGGTGGACAGCATTCAACTGCATGCGCGGTGGGTTTTCAGAAGGTTGCATCTGCATGCTCCAATCCTGACCCACTCTGCCATGGTGGTGTCAAACAGCTGGGTCGAGTCCAAAAGCTCAATCTCTGGACGCACCACCGCAAGGATGGACATTGCACGTTGAAAGTTCTCCTCAGGTGTCCTGCCAAAGGCAACAGAAGGGCGCGGGGCAAATGCTATTGCTTGTTACTAGTAGCGAGGCACTTGTTCCTAGAAGCTTCTTGTTACTATTAGTAAGGCACTTGTTACTAGTAGCGAGGCACCTGTTACTAGTAGCTTCATGCTATTGCAATGAGAAGCTTGGCCTGGTGGGCACGTGCAGTAGCGCAAACAAGCCCTTGAGGAGCTCTGCTTTGGCCTTTCGATGGCGTGTTGTGTGGCGCAGCAGCACAAAACATTCGTTATCCACACACTGTAGTTGTCATTAGTTGTCGAGTACAAGCAACATGTGCTCCAGCTATCTCCGGCAATGCTTGTCTTTCACCTCGATAAGGTCCAGATTGAACCAGGATTGATGTGGCCAGACCGGAAAGGGCAATGCAAAGTCTCGTGCCCATTGCTTCTGCATCTGCACCGAGAAACCCTCGACTTCACCTTGGCTGCCGTCAATCAACCTTCAAGAAATCACGCCCTGTCGTTACACCGGGTGCACTGGCTGGACTTCTGTGCTTGGATAACCGGTTGAAGACCAGCTGAAAGATACAAAGGCATATGAATGAATGACTATGACCAACGTCCACAACAAAAACAAGTGCTGGGTTTTTTGTCACCTGGGGTCGCAGAAAGTCACCCGGCCGCAAGGGCACGCTGAAAGTCACCCGGACAAGTGAAACACCATGGCCACACTATGTACCCACATCTTCCTGCCCAAACTCGAAACTACATATTTTCTTCCCTACGCTGGGACGAAACAATGACGAAACGATCATTTTAGTGTTGATTTCTTGGTTGGGCGTTGAATCGCCGTGGCCACGCTTATTCCAGACTCCAGGTAGTGTTCTGATGTCATTAGCCCCTCCGAAGCAAGAAATCTTACATATAGTGTTAAATGAGTCATGCAGTCATAGAGTTATACATAATCATACACATGACACATGGACATTTAGAAGAATTTGAGGCTAAATATTCATCGTAAAACCTGTTACGCGAACAAAGGTTTCGCGGGTGCCGCGTGAGTCGCAGCAACCCCACGTTTGCAGGGACAACAAAGTTTAAAAAAACTATATATCGAGACACAGATCTCGCAAGGCCAGGCATCTTCCAAACGACTTACAGTACTCCAAAATAAAGCAACTTATATAACATGCTGGAGCATGCAAACTTCACCAAGAAAAAACACATCTATCACTGTAGCACCTTTATTATTTACATATCGCCTACTTGCATTCAATTGAGGTTTGCAAACTTCGCTCACCACCAAGCACCAAGGTGCTGGGCATCAATGCCCCGGTGCGCAACTTCAGCTTGGCCATCCTGAGTCCAAAAATGTCCAAAGCGAATCGTGGCTAGAGCAAAGCAACCTTGAGAAACATGACGTGAGTGCCGGGCGCGTTGGACGAAGTATGTTTCCTACGGACATAGCCTAGAATGGGTCGGTCCCCAGAACAAAAAAACATAAAAAACTTTCCGTTCGTTTATTAAAAGCTTGGCCGGGCCGGGCCCGTGTTTAAATGGCAGGCCTGTTGGGTGAGTGGATTGTCTGTTAATTAGTGGTGCGGCATCTCGTGGCGAAAAGCGAGTGGTGCCTTGTGGCGGCTCTGACAGAGCCCGCTTGCAACCTGTAGGCAGCCCTTGAATGACACAGGTAGTCCCTACATGTATATTTACTCCGTATGTAAAAATCGGGCGGGCCGGCAAAATCCTTGCTAGAGGTATATAGTCTAAAGATGTCTAAAGCACCTGTCGTCAAAGTGTGCATCGGTTATCGTAGGCAGTGTGGTACGGAAGCTTTGCAGTGGTTGGAAACTTAGTGTTGGTTTAACAACACGTCTCCTTGAGCCACTCTTGGGCCACAACGGCAAGGCTATCCTCAATGTGTGCTGCAGCTTTTCTAAAGACCCTTACCCCCACCAGAAGCACAACCTTTTGACTACATTTTCACAACGGCCGTGGCCCCTCGCACGCAGCCAAAGGCCAGCAGCAACTCCATCATCAAGTTGCCATTGGGCAACGACATATTCTTGCAATTCAGCTTCAAGATTCAAAACAAATCCACTGTTGCCTAACAACTGAAGAAAAAAACAACTAACATACCAAGTGCTTGTGCCAGGTGCAAATATATCATGGCATCATGTTTCCTTCAGTACATAGTTGGTGCATCGAAAGGTCATCGGTTGATGGGTCGGCTGCCGTTGTTTGTGCAGGTTTGATGCAGGTGTCCAATGTGGTCCAATGTCCCAAGACCAGCCTGTCACTGCTTTAGTATTCGATTGGTTTTGTCGGACGCTCACGTGCGCTTTGCTTTTCAACCTGGAGCAACCATGTCAACCTTTGCGCAACTCCAGGCAACCAAAGCGGTTCCACATCTCGAAGCTCCCCCCACGTGTGCTGTCGGAATGCCAAGCATCCAATATAGACCAACGTTATGCTGACACTTTCGCAACAGATTGCGATCCAAAGTGGCGAATCTCCAGGATTCAGTTGGTGTCGTTAACTGCACTCCTTGGCACAAAGGCACAAAGGTGCACTTGAAAGGCCCAAGTAAGAAGCCGCAACTGGAAACGTCTACCCATAGATCATCAGAAGGGGCCCTTGGTTCGGCCAAGGTTTGTACAACTTCGTCTCCGAAGTGGTTACGAAAAGGTTACCAAAAGTAGCCACTGCCTCAGCCAATGTTGAAGCCATGTAGCGCTCAAAGTGCATACCATGGACAGCCAGGTTAAGCAAAGTCTGCGCTCCATGATCAGAGTTTACCTCAATACATGCAAGAGTGAGCCCAATTGGCAAGTGAAATACAGCGAACACGCTAATTATACAATACAAACATGCAAGCAAAGGAAGTCCGGAATAGAATCCATTTCTCTCGACGGCCAGTGTAAACAAATCTTCAAACTGATGCACTTGGTATGCAAACAACTGTGAGGCCACGAGACCACAAATAATATTCGAGCATAGTTGTTCCGGCCATGGTTGTGACAAATCGCATCTGCCCAGGCAACTGCTTGGTCTGGATATTTCCTGAGAAGAGACGAACACTCACCCACAACAGAAAATCCGCCGACCCCGGCCTATAGCCAAAGCCTAGGCGGGGAGGCGCCTGGGACACCGCAGGGTGAAGCAGTTGGCCAAGCCTTGCAGAACCCTTCCAAGCCCTTCCAAAGGCATGTGTGCAGGTGCATTGTGGTTGGCCGCGGCCTCTCGGTGGCCTGTCCGAGGCCTGTTAGGCATTTTGGACCGCCCTCCAACCCTTCTCGGCAGCTGGCAGGCCTGCCTCTTCTCTTCTGATGGGCATCCGAAAGCAACGTTAGGCATTTTAGACCGCCCTCAAACCCTTCTCG